TCTTGCATGGCTGCACACCCACACTGCCCAGGTACCGTGACTGATGTGTGGTCTTGCATGGCTGCACACCCACACTGCCCAGGTACCGTGACTGACGTGTGGTCTTGCATGGCTGCACACCCACACTGCCCAGGTACCGTGACTGACGTGTGGTCTTGCATGGCTGCACACCCACACTGCCCAGGTACCGTGACTGACGTGTGGTCTTGCATGGCTGCACACCTACATTGCCCAGGTACCCTGACTGATGTGCGGTCTGGTACGGGGAGGAAGGGGTTAAAGTCTTCTCACTGCTCGGGATGCAAGTCGTGCACGTATATATATACCGGTATATATACATGTATACTGTCATTGTGTTTATTACGCTCTTGCTGCTTTTATGTTGGCCGCCTTGCTGTAAAAATGCAAATGAGAAACGCAAACAGAAAGTTTCTGGGCAGATGGGAAGAAAAATCACACGTAGCAGAGAAGCGAAAGCTCACGCTGTGCGTTTCATGTCAGGAAATTCTGCAGCAGCAGCAGCAGGTAGTGCTGACAGTTGGATGCCGCGCACGCGGAGGCCTGATAAAGGCGGGAGCAGAGGAGAGAGACGTGGGGGGCAGAGCGCGACAGCGGGGGGGAAAAAAGACGAGGCGGACAGCTTTGAAGTGGGCGTCCTGCTCACCTGTAAATGGCACCGTTCTCTAAGTACAAGTCGGTACAGAGGAATACTATATCCGTGTGAAGTGACGTACCCCTCCACCCCCCCACATATTAAGTGAGGAGCTGGACAGGGCAGCTTGGGAGGCCCGGGCCTCAGATTAATGGCGGTTCTTACCTTTGCTTTGAAGGTCTGGAAACCTCCGCCAGCCTTCGACAGGCCTCCTCTAGCTGAGCCAGAGTGCTGGGCGACGCCGCGGCCAAGTCCTGGACTAGAGGATGTGCGGGCGGCCGAGGGTGGCCCACTCCACTGAGCCACTGCTGATGGCGTGCCGGCCTTTCCGCCGAGGACGCTCGAGGGGTCTCACAGGCCGCTGCGCTCCTCTTGGTGCTCTGTGCACTGGAAAAGAAGGCACCGAGGGTCAACGTATGACGCAATGCACGCCCCCAGATGACCCCCCACATTACCACAAGAGAACGTCGATCCCCAACAAAATGAAATATATGGTGTCACAGAAATACATTGTGGCCCCAATTATCCTATCAAATACCCCGACACAGAGACCCCCCTCCCCCCTGGAATCAGCCGTCAGTATACGGACAAGCCTTCAGTCCTCCATAGAACCCGCGTGTCTTACCTGTGAGATCTGTGCTTGCACTGCCTCTCTGTCTCCGACTCCACCACCCGCTGCCACGTCGGAGGTACGTGTCCTTCCATCGGCAGCTGGTATATAATGGTTGTGCCGTCTACGCCCTCCACCGAATATTCCGACACCGTCTTGCCGTTCCTTCTGGATAAGGTTCCGGTCCGACTGCCAAGATGAAAGGAAAGAAATAAAAAAAACTGTACCAAGTGGCAGATTTTATGTGACACGGACAGGACTGAGACCAAAGGGCGGCCATTTTGAACTCCTCTGATGATGAACACATGTGTAACAGGCGCTGCTGTCATATTGTCTGCGTGTGGCCGGGCAGGGCAAGGAAATCTACACATCTGTACACTACAGAGAAGAGATTTGTGTCTCACCTTGTGCTGTCCACGTGTAGCAGCGACAGGTCCACCCCCTTGGCGTGCGTCCGGTTCCTCATATAGCAGCAGTAGTCGTTGGAGCCGGTACATGGGCAGTGCACCCTGCGGGCCGCCTCGGCCTCGATCTCCTCCTTTGTCTTTAGCATGGTGTGGTGGTGCACATAGTGGTGGTGGATGTGTTTGGTGGTCTGCTTGGTGACAAAGCTCTTGGCCAGCAGGGGACAAGGCGACGAGAGCGCCGTAGGCGGCGGCGAAGGCCGTAGTAGGCGAGAGCGGTCGGGGGATCGGGATCTGCCTACGCCTGGTGACTGGCAGCCGGGGGTCTTGAGGACTCGGGATAAGTGGTCATCTAGGATGGCTTGAGGGTCGTCCTCGCAGGGGGCAGAAGGTGCCAGAGTCAGCGGATGGTGAGACGGGACAGAGGCGCCCTGAGTGGGCTGGAAGCAGGCGGGAGATTCACATTCTTCTTGTTCTTCTTCCTGTCAGGAGGACAACATTTCATCAGGGCAAGAGTCAGGAGGCCAACATTTCATCAGGGCAAGAGTCAGGAGGCCAACATTTCATCAGGGCAAGAGTCAGGAGGCCAACATTTCATCAGGGCAAGAGTCAGGAGGCCAACATTTCATCAGGGCAAGAGTCAGGAGGCCAACATTTCATCAGGGCAAGAGTCAGGAGGCCAACATTTCATCAGGGCAAGAGTCAGGAGGCCAACATTTCATCAGGGCAAGAGTCAGGAGGCCAACATTTCATCAGGGCAAGAGTCAGGAGGCCAACATTTCATCAGGGCAAGAGTCAGGAGGCCAACATTTCATCAGGGCAAGAGTCAGGAGGCCAACATTTCATCAGGGCAAGAGTCAGGAGGCCAACATTTCATCAGGGCAAGAGTCAGGAGGCCAACATTTCATCAGGGCAAGAGTCAGGAGGCCAACATTTCATCAGGGCAAGAGTCAGGAGGCCAACATTTCATCAGGGCAAGAGTCAGGAGGCCAACATTTCATCAGGGCAAGAGTCAGGAGGCCAACATTTCATCAGGGCAAGAGTCAGGAGGCCAACATTTCATCAGGGCAAGAGTCAGGAGGCCAACATTTCATCAGGGCAAGAGTCAGGAGGCCAACATTTCATCAGGGCAAGAGTCAGGAGGCCAACATTTCATCAGGGCAAGAGTCAGGAGGCCAACATTTCATCAGGGCAAGAGTCAGGAGGCCAACATTTCATCAGGGCAAGAGTCAGGAGGCCAACATTTCATCAGGGCAAGAGTCAGGAGGCCAACATTTCACAAGGGCAAGAGTCAGGAGGACAACATTTCATCAGGTCAAGAGTCAGGAGGACAACGTTTCATCAGGGCAAGAGTCAGGAGGACAACGTTTCATCAGGGCAAGAGTCAGGAGGACAACGTTTCATCAGGGCAAGAGTCGGGAGGCAATGGCTGTATGGGGGGCCGGGAACTGTGGTTGCCGATTGTCTAAACTCTGCGCGTTACTCTCATCCAGAAACCTCATGCTCAATTTTCTGACACTGCGGTCACAGCGACCGCTCCATAATGATGTCATACTGAAACTGACTCATATGCTGGATGGAGGGAGCAGCTTCCACCTCTCTGACCTGCGTTGGAAGACTGAACCCCCGGGAGGAATCGGACTGCCATGGGGAACATATATATCGGTGATGAAATGTGAGAGGATTACGGAGTACATGTCAGTGACATGGAGGTCACGTGTTTACAATGCATAGTGCAATGCTGTATGACGGTGGATTCTATATGGAAGGGGGGGGGGGGGGGAGGGGGGCGGAGGATGGAGCCGTTGTCACAGCAGCATGTACGTTGAGGAGAGAGAGAGCCGCTGGCTGTCAGATCCAGGCCGAGCGGCTCTCTCCTCACCGCTCGGCGTGCTGCTGATGATAGCGGCTCCGACCACTGCCGCTGCCTGCAGCGCCTCGTTCACTTCTTGGATCCCCGCTGCATACAGATGGTGGAGAGCATCGGGGATCCAGAGAAGCCCCACGTCAGGAGGACAGGACATCGCGATCCACCAGGGATCGCTTTGCGATCAATGGTAGATCGCGATCGACCTAATGGGCACCCCTGATTTATTATATTGCTGGTTCGGCAATATATTAAATAGAATGTGGGCACCTGCCAGGTTTAAAGATGGCCGGCGCGATTCGCAAAAAAAAACTTAACATGACTTTACAGTGACCTGCACCTGGAGTGTGCGGGTCACTGTAACCGGGACCTAGGCTCGCGTGCCACCAGAGGGGCCTCTGCGTGCCCTCTGTGGCACGCGTGCCATAGGTTCGCCACCGCTGCCCTAAGGGGTTCATTTTTTTATTTAACTCTCATGGTGGCGATGTTCAAAGTATATCTCTGTAGTGACACTTAGTGACAGTGACATTGTATGCCCCCTAACCTAACCACTATTAGCTTTTAGAGAAAAAAAAATTAAAAAGTTAGTTTTTAGTTTTAGGCTGAAAAGTACAGAAAAATGTGAGGGATGTGAGGTGTTTCCAAACAAAAGACAAATAAATGAATGTATTTTGTTGCATTTTTTTAGTGCTAATTAAAAAAAAAAAAAAAA